TCAAAAAACCAAACCAAACCAAAAGTGCCCTGGGTCTGATCTTTAGCACTTTAGGTGTGACAGCACACGCCCGCAATCCCAGCACTTAAGGTGGAATCAGGAGAGAAAGTGAAGATCATCTTCAGCTGAGGGCTTCCCCGGCTTGACGTGGATGTTCCTTCCTGCTGGCACATTGCCATGCTCACACTTCTGAAGTCCTGTGTCCCAGGCTTCCACCATGAGTCATCACTTCTTGGGACAGGAGAAGGTTCATCAGATATGCAACTAGATCCTTGGGACTTGTGCTATGATTCTTGGTTTAGGGAGGGGAGCACAAACTAAAAAAGAAGCAACTAGGAGATGGCTCTCAGACTAGCAGCTTCCCAACTAGCCTGAAGGTCCTAGTGACTTAGAGATCTGGAGGAACAGAGTGGAGACTCCGGTTTGCTGGTGGAAGGAAAGTGTCCTAGTCAGTGGTCTATTGCTATAGAGACACCAGGATCACAGCAGCTCTTAAAAAGCATTTGATTGAGGCTGGCTTACAGTTCAGAGGTTTAGTCCATTATCATGGCAGAGAGCATGAAGAGATAGTTGAGAATTACTTACTGATCTGCAGGAGGAGAGAAGAAAGGGGGGTGGAGAGGGAGACTGGGTCTGGAATGGATTTTTGAAACCTCAAAGCCTACCCCCTAGTGACACACTTCCTTCAACAAGGCCATGACTAGTCCAACAAGGACACACCTCGTGTCCTTTCAAATCCTTTCAAATAGTGCTACTCCCTGGTAACTAAGCATTCAAATATGTGGGCATAGGGGAGACAGGATAAAGTGTCTTAGCTACAAACAAAACAACAACAAAACCAAACCAAACCAAAACAAAGGCAAAAGCCACCAAAGAAGCCAAAGGACCAAGACACCCTCTGGTCCAACTGTGGTAAGATAAAGGGACTCCTGGGCACAAGGCTTAAGTGATGGCTCAGAATCAGCGTCCCTTTTGCTCCTGACCTAGGACCTTACCTAGGAACTATGTCACATAGCATATGGCCCGAGGAAGAGGGCTTTGTCCAGAGTACCAATGGCAAGGCGTATGGTGACTGTGGACACAGTCAGCTGAGGACAGGGTAGGTCCTGTGACTCTGCCTGAGGCTCAGGGTTCAGGCTGACTGTGCAGAGTGCAATGAACCTCAACATGGTATCAGTGTCAGTGCTGGGATACCCAGCAACCATGACCCTCTCCCCACAAAGTCATGGAATGAAGGGCCAGGGGACTGGATAATAAATAGGCCAAAGAGAAATTAAGCATTCTCACGTCTGTGAGACCACAGGACAGGGAGTCCCACAGAGAGAACAGGGCTAGAGCACACTAAGGGAATAGCAACGGAAGCTGGGCAGACCAGAGAGCCAGCCACCAGCGCTACACCACAGAAACGGGAAAGCGACAGCCTCACGAGCATACTGTACTAGAAACAGACAAAGCCATTTGCGTCTCTCTACAGAGTCAGAATTCACTGAATAACAATAGATTCATGAGGTTTATTGGTTTCCTATCTGAGTAGCCTGTTTTGGTTTTTTTTGTTGTTTTTTTTTTGTTTGTTTGTTTTTGTCATTTTAGTTTTTCAAGACAGGGTTTCTCTGTGTAGCCCTGGGCTTCCTGGAACTTACTCTATAGCCCAAACTGGCCTTGAACCTACAAAGATCTACCTCCCTCTGCCTACCGAGTGCTGGGATTAAAGACGTGTGTCACCATCTGCCTCTTTATTCCACTCTTAATTATTAACTTCATAGCACACACCACCGAGCAGACAGTCAGTATATTTTCTATCTATATACATATGTGCATGGATTGTGGAACAAATACAAGCCAAAGAGGCTGCAGTACTATTCAAGCAGGTTAGCAGTGGGTTGAGCGTCTGGATCGGTATGGTAATAAACCAGACCAGTGCCAGGAGAGAGCTGCTGGTGGAAACTGGAGAGCTGGAGTCAGCTTTGAGAGCAGAGCTGCAGACCTCTGCTGAGAACTACAAAGGCTGAGCCAGGTCTGGAGGAGGAATGGGTCATATCTGGGTCCAGATGGGAGGACAGGTAGACAGGCAGGCAGGTAAGTAGTTGGGGAATCTAGCCAAGTCAGGAAGTCCTTGGTCCTTGACACACAGACCAGGTATCGAATGAGAAATCAGTTATGGGGCCATGGCATCCCAGTGTTGGTCACATTATAAGGTCCAAGGGAAGGAGCTGCACCTTGTTCCTCTCTCTGTTGGCTCTGTTAAGGTTTTAGGCCACTTCCCTGATTTTAATATGCACAATTTCAATTCTTCTCAATAAACTCACAGGAATACTCACTTTCCACTTCCAGGAGTAAGGCCCTCATCAGTTCCTACTAGCAGGTTGGTCCCAACAGCTCCTGGGACCACCAGAAGCTACTGGTTTCCTTCTCCCTCAAAACAATCAAAAGCTGATTATAAAGTGGAATCTTCCTGGGCAAGGCACAGCCCGAAAAACACTCTTGTATTCAGTATGGAGTAACTTGGAGTATGGTACATAGCCTGATCTTAGCGGTTGGGCAGGGCTCAAATTCCTCTGCAGCCACCACAGTGGCAGTGCTGAGGTTTGCTGTTCCAGTGGCTAGAGTCCAGAGAAGAATGGAGGGAGAGGCCATCTCCACACAATGCCTTCAAGGAGAATCACTCCAACATCGCGCACAGATGCACCAATGGGGGAGGGGAGTTCACGACATGATATGACCACTCTGTCCTTCCAGAGGCTACAAACGGTCGCACACGGTCAATACGGAGCCAAGGACAGGAGGGACGATGGGACACAAGGCACCGTGCTGTTCCATGGAACTGGCTGCACAGGTTGTCTGACATGAGCTGAGATCCCAAGATTCCAGAGCAGTCTGAAATCAGGGTGTTCCAGTAGTCATGGTGTTGCCTGAGAACGTCAGCATTAGTCACAGCCTGCCCTGGGAGTTGACTGAAGCTGGAGGGGACCTTGATTTCTGTTTGCTTGTTTGTTTTTGGACATACATTGACTGATTGACGTATGCACATGCCATCTGCACAACATATCTGCAGGTTTTCAAGAGACAGCTCTCTTTTTCTGCCATGTGGGTCCTAGGGATCAAATTCAGGTTGCCAGGCCTTATGGCAGGTGCCTTACCCACTGACCCATCTTGCCTGCCTGACTTTCAAGGCTGCAAATGATAGATGCAGACGCCATATTTCAAGCTCTGAAGGAAGCCACAGGAAGAAGAAAAATAGCCACTATTCAGGAAGTCTGTGGTTGCCACCGTTGGTAATAACACCCTGACCTATTCCTGTTCTGCTTCTCTGAGCCTTTTTCTTTCTGACTTAAAAAAAAAAGATTTTTAAATTGTGTGTTGCTTGTTGATAACTAAAAGATGCGTAGCGAGAACAGTGGTCCAGGTCACTCAGCCATCAGTAGCCACTCAAGCATCTCCAGCCACAGTGTTCTCGGTCATTCTTACAAATCCACCTTAGGTCACACAATGGGTTGGGTCCTCACTGAAAATCCCGATTTTTTTTGTTGTTGTTGTTGTCAGCAAACACTTCTCCCACAAAGTTAAAACCCACTTGTCCTTCATTGTCATGAAAGCAACTTTCCACTTTCACTTTGACTTAAAAATTAGAGAGGGTACCCTCCTACCCCACAACTGTCAAAACTATGATGAGACAAGAACAGGAACAATATGGCCAGTGGTTGGAGAATCCAAGCATGGCAGGCCAGGCCATGGTCCACCTGACATTCATGCTTTGTTGATGGATGAGACCTTTTCAGGATGCCCAGGGCTCCTGCTGAGCTTTTGTTGGTAATGTTTCTATTTGTTTTAAAGCAAGTCTCACTATGTATCCCAGTCTGGCCTTGAACTCATAAAGGAACAACCTGTCTTCCTCCTGGGGATTTATTTTAAAGTCACCAAACAAACTTTAATAATTTCAAGGCTCACAATTACAATTGAAGAGAACTTGCCAGAAACTCAGTCTGGCCCAGGATGAACCACACTGTCACACTTTTCCTGCCTGGTAGTTTGTTCAAGCAAGCACTGCTAGAATGGAAGGCCCCATGATTAATGGCCCAGGATGGGGACAGGCTGATACAGAAATGCCTCCGTTGGGGCTTATGTACCTCTGAGGTAGCCTTGTTGCAAGGCCCTGCCCCTCCATCCTCTCCCTGGTTGGTTTACAGGGATCAGACACTGAAGCAAGTCACCTCAGTACCCCTTGAGGACAGACTCAACACCGAACCTTGAACCTTGTAGCAAGGGGGTTCACTACATGGGGAGTAGTGCTGTCGGAGCCTGGCCCATGCTCAAAGGTGAAGTGCGTGCATGTCGAGAGTAGGGACTCTTATCTGTTATGAGCAAGGGGTTAGAATCCCCTGAGGGGAGAGGATCGACAGGTCCTGCTCCACTCAGGGATCGTATATTGGATTTGACTGTGAGATCATCAGCTCCTGGAGAGGGAAGAGAGAGTACGCCAAGAGACAGGAGTTTTGTGATTCAGTTACTTTTTAATGATGCACAGCAGACAATATATTAAGGCAATTGCTCCAACAAGGTATTACCACATTTCCTATGCATTGCCTCTAACAATATGCCCAATGAACACAAATAATAAGTTGCTAATTACCAAAGAAATAAGCGCATAGCAATAAATACATCATTCATTCATGGATTATACAACCTGAGTCCTTATGTTGGTTTTGGGTTACAGGTCCAGAGTCCGGGAAGGCAGGTCAGGCTGTGGCTTCCAGATAGTTGAATTGATAATTTGACGTTGCAGGATGCTTGACCACGAAGAAGCTGGAGGCATTGGTCTCTTGGTTAACTCTTTGATGACCGGGTGCTGAGGAGGCTTTGTCCGGAGGATCACATTGGTCAGTCATGGCTACAAGTGTGATGAAGTGCTCTGATCGGGCTCCTCTTTTATGTTGGATTTGGCGTTACTCCTGACATGCATGGCAGATAACCACTCGTGTCTGGTTATCTCAGCACAGCTTCATTTCCACACTTGCCTTTACAACTACCAGACATGTCTTTACAAGTGCCAGACTAGTCTCTACAAGTTTCCTATCACAGAATGGAGTTGGTCCTGTTTAAAGGCCTTCTCCTTACGGTGCATGTGTACATTACCACTCCAGGCTGGCCTGGAACTTGCCTTGTTGACCAGGCTGGCTTCGAACTTACTGAGATTCACCTGCCTCTACCTCCTGAGTGCAGGGAGGAGATAAAGGTGTGCGTCGTCACCCCCGGCCATTAGTATATACATTTTAAATTATAGATTAATTGATTTGTATACATGGTATACTCCTGGCGTATGGCCAGGACTGTGCCACGGTATGTGTGTGAAGGTCTAAGAGAAGACAACCAATGGGAGATGGCTCGATTCTTCAGCCACATGGGTCAGCTTGGTGACAAGCTCCTTTACCTACTTAACCATCTTGACAGCCATATTGCTATATTGTATCTGAGAAATAGTAACTGTGCAGAAGCCTCAGGTACAGCGTGGCATTTCAGTACATATAAACAACATCTACTGAGATCAGATCTTAGGCTGGCAGGAGGCGTATGGTGCACCTCAGACATTCATCATTTTTTTTTTTCTGTTGAAAACATTCAAGACTCTGGCCCACTAGCTCCTTTGAAATACTCAGTGAAGTCTGTAACTGTAGCTGTCCTATCAACTATATTCTTCGATCACAGCCACACCTGTACCACCAACCACCCTCTTCCCATCATCCCTCCCAAACATGCGTTTTTCCAAAGTTTTACCAAGGCATCATTTGGGACAATAAACTCTGTGTTTAGAGTCCAACTATGACACACTTGGAGACAAGTCATTACTGTAACCAGTGTAGGGATCAACTCACGCACGGGGACCGACGTCACTCCTGTGGTTTTGTTCACCCTCTCTCCTAACCTCTTCCTTCTGCCTTACCCTATGGCAAGTAATTCATCTTTGTCACTGTGGATTTGTTTACATGTTCTAGAGTTTTGTACATATAATCACAGAACAACATGTGCTGCTTCTCCTCTTCCTTTTTTTTTTTTTTTTTTAAATAAAGACAGGATTTCTCTGTGTAGCCCTAGCTATCCCAGAATTTTCTCTGTAGACCAGGTTGGCCCCAAACTCAGAGATTCTCAGAGATTCTGCTTCTGTATCCCTCCCCCACCAAACTCCCCTCACATCTCTACCTCCTGAGTGCTGAGATTAAATGCATGAACCACCACTCCCTGGTGCTTCTTTTTCTTTTTTAATCATGAGAGTTCTTTTGAGATCCTTTGTATGACATATATTGATGACATTATTTGATAAATAATCCCTTATTATCCTTTAGCATACACTGCACGGGTACACTGCAAATTTGTATCACTCCAGGACACAAATACATTCTGAAAAAGGCAGCATTAGGCAATTTCATCATTGTCTGAACATCAAAAAATGTGTTTACACAAACCAACACAATCATAATCACTAAGCCATAACCCCCCCTGAAGAACTAACAGATTCCTTGTTGACTAAAATATCATGTGGTGACCATCACTGGCTGCTACAAAAACAAACAAAATAAAACAAAGAAAACCCTTAAAAAATAAAATAAAATAAAATAAAATAAAATAAAATAAAATAAAATAAAATAAAATAGAAAACTCTTGTCAGGCTTGGTGGCCAACAACTGTAATCCCAACAGAGGACTGAGAGTTTGAGACCAGCCTGAGCTACATAGGGAACCTAAGGCTAGACCAGACTACAATATCAAAACTCTGACTCAAAAATTAAGTACAGCCTGGAGACATACTGGAGGTTACTCGAGAGGCTAAGGCAAGAGCTCTGATGTAAGTTTAAGGCCAGTATAAGCTCCATAGCAAATTCCAGGCCAGCCAAGGCTCCATAAAAAGGGCCTGACTCAAGTGAGGTGGCTCAGCAGGCGCCTGCCGCCAAGGCTGACAACTTAAGTCCATCCCTAGAACCAGCTAGGTGAGAGGAGAAAAGCCAGCTCCAACCTCTACACAAACACCTCAGCACACGTGCCCACCACACACGGTTTCCAGACGTGTACTGATTCACATTCCCACTAGGACTGTATGACAGCTCCAGCCGCCACACAGCATGCTTAACTCTGACACCTCAGGTGCACGTCAGCTTCGTTCACATCACCCTAGTGACGAACGGTGTTGAGTGGACGCCGTCTGTGTATACCTGCTCTGTTCCTTGGAAGGGTCCTTGGAAGGATCCATTAACACTTTTTTTCCCTTTTGGATAGTCCTGGGCTTACAGGCACCACTGTGAGAAAGCTGATTACGGGCCCCAGAACTTCATGCACAGTAGGCAGACATTCTACTGACTGATCCACATCTCCAGCCATTCAGATATTTTCCCTTTTTTTTACTTTTTTTTGGGGGGTCAATACATTTTATCATTTTAGTGGGTTTTTAAAAATTAGGATCGTACATAAGACTTCTTTATTCCTTTTTAAGATTTATTTTATTTAACTATGTTTATGTGTATCTCTATATGCCAGGTACAGCATATGGGTGCCCAAGGAGGGCAGAATGGACATTGGATTCCCCAGAGCTAAAAATACAGATGGTTATGATCCACTTGACATGGAGGCTAGGAGTTGAACTCTGGTCCTCTGAACTCATAAGAGCAAGTGCTCTTAACTTCTGAGCCATCTCTCCAGACTTGTTTGTTCTTGATCATAGCACTATAGCACTTTGTCAGAATTGTGTTCCCCCCCCCCCCCCGTGTGTGTGTGTGTGTGTGTGTGCCTATCTGTCTCTGTCTCTGTCTCTGTCTCTCTCTCCCTGGCTGGCCTCAAACTCACAGCACTCTGCCTACCTCTTCCTCCCAAGTGCCGAGATTAGAGGTCTGGCTATCACACCTAGAAAAAATTATCCTTTAGAAGTGTCTTCTCTAAGACCGGACTGCACTGGTCTTCTCATTTTTCCTCAGATATTTTTCAGAGCTGAACTTCTAGACTTTGATGAAATCCAGCTCATCAGGGTGTTTTGGGTACCGTATCTAAGAAATGTTCGTTTTCCTCCTGTGCCTGGCACCAAGCCTGCATGCCCTCCTTGCTCAGTCAGTGGGTATGAAGAACAGAGCAAGGGAAGGGGTGGAGTGGGGGAGCAGGAAAGGGTAACGAGACATGGATGAACAGGGATTACGGGGACTCTGGGGAAGGTCCCAGAGGGATGCCACTTTTTTTCCATTTGAACCCAGGGCTTTGTACATATGAGACACACGCTCTACCAACTGAGTCACACCCCAAACCCACATTGCTTCTTAAGAGGCTCTCAAGAGACAAAAGTTAGTTCAGCCTTATGATCCCACAAGTAGGTTAGAGGCAGACTGCAGATTCCAGAGGGAGCCCTGGGGGAAGAGAGTGGGAAGCAAGGGAAAATGGGGTCCTCTGAAGCTCTGATCTCCTGTCCATAAGTAAAAGATGACATCTCTTTCCTTTATTTAGCCCTCTACCTCTCCCCTCTGATTCTTTATTTTCAGACTTACTTTTAACTATGTGTATATATGTATATACTATAATGCTAGAAGTACTAGACATATATGTATATTATATGTATGAGTATGTATGTGTGGGAATGTGCGCGTGAATGGAGGTGCCTGCGATAGTCAGAAGAGCGCGTCAGGTCCCCTGGAGCTGGGGTTACAAGTGGTTGTTGAGCCTCCTGACATGGGCTGGGAACCAAACTCTGGCCCTCTGCAATAACCAACCACACTTTTAGCAGCTGAGCTATCTCTCCAACACCATTACCCCCAATTTTTCTTTCAAATAGGGTTTCATGTAGTACAGTCTAGCTTCACATGCACTTCCTTGAACTGATCCTCTCCCCCTCCACCTACAAAGATCTGTGGTGGTGCCCTCACACCTGCAGCCCCTCCCCTTCCATCTTCCTTGCCCCCTCCCTTCCTTCTCACCTGTTTGCCAACTTCGTTCTCTGTGAGGTCTCAGCTCATGTCTGCCCTGGGGTCTTCCTGGCTTCTCCTGCGACCTTGCAAAAAAGAAAAAGTCTAGGACCCTGTATGTAGCGAGCTTAGCGTTAGTCTTTTGTGTCCTGCTGTTACCTGCCTTCCCCTTACAAATGGCTCCCTGTGTCTTAACCAAGACGCCAGAGAATGTTCACAGATACTTTTAATGCTTCCTTCCTCAGTGACCTCAGGTCAGCTAGGTTCGCGCTGGCAAGGAAGAGGGACTCCTCATACCTTTGAAGGCTCAAAGGTTCTAGAGAGATTTTTGCTGTCCTTAAGTTCTGGGTGTTCTGTTCCCACCCAATCTGCCGAAGCTATGCAAGTCAGGCAAGGAGACAGATTACAATAGCACCATCATTCTGAAATCTTGAGTGGGGGATTTATCAAATCACAGATGACAAATTCCTGGCTCCTGAAACCAAACCAGGAGAGAGAGGCTCAGCAAGGGGCACCTGTCAAGTTCCTCATACCATGTTCATTGATCACAAGATATGGCTTAAAGCAGCACACCTCCTTGAATCTCAATCTCTCTCTCTCTCTCTCTCTCCCTCCCTCTCCATCTCCCTCCCCTCCCTCCCCCTCCCCCTCCCCCTCCCCCTCCCCCTCTCCCTCTCTCTCTCTCTCTCTTTCTCTCTTGACCATACCCTACCCAACACTGGTTATAATCTTATCTGATCAGATCAATTGATTATCTGAATCAGATTTTATATGGCTGAAATCAAAGAGTCAATCATGTGGGCTCTTACTAGGCTAGGGAAGACCCTGTTCCAGGTTTTTCAGTACCTACCTTCAGGAAAGAGAGGGGTCAGGGTTCTTACCTGCTTTGGTCTCTCCAGTTGTCTTTCTACTCTTTTTTTTTTTTTTTTTCCTGAGACACGGTTTCTCTGTGTAGCCCGGGCTGTCCTGGAACTCACCCTGTAGTCCAGGCTGGCCTCAAACTCAGAAATCCACCTGCCTCTGCCTCCCAAGTGCTGAGATTAAAGGCATGTGCCACCACTGCCTAGCATCTTTCTACTCTTAAAGAGACAATTCCTGCATTTCAGGGCTTATGTGTCTAGATTGGGTCCTGACTTCCCAGGTATTCCCCCAAGTCGAGGTCCATGATCTTTTTAATTTTTTAAAAAATTTTACACGTATGAGGGTTTGCTCATATGTACGTTGTGCACCGTGTATATATCTTGTGCTCATAGAAGCCGGAAGAGGTCGTGGATCCTCTGGAACTGGAGTTAGAGGCTGTTGTAACCACTGTATGGGTACTGGGAACTGAACCCAGGTCTTCTTCAAGAACATCCAGTGCTCTTAACTGCTGAGACATCGCTCCAGTCTCCAGGTTCATAATTTTAATATAGGCCTTTTGCCAGTAGGCTAACATAGTCCCGGGTTCTGGGTCCTAGGTGAACATCTTGTGGTCACAGGGCCTCTGGTACAGGAGTCAAACCCTGCTCTCACCTCGTTCCTCCCCTTTCTTGTGCTACTTCATTCTGTCTCCTGCAGCCAAGAGTCAGGAATATAAGACATTTTCTTCCAAGATATTGAGTTACACAATCAGTGAGTAAAGGTTCTTGCTGCCACGCCTAAGACATGAGTAATTCCTAAGAACCCACGTGGTAAAAGGAGACAATGAATTCTTACTGCTTGTTCTCTGACCCCCATAGGCATTCTACGGTACATGTACACACGTACACACACACACAATTTTGTTTTGTTTGTCTTTTAAGATAGATTTATTTATGTAGCTCTGGCTGTCCTGAAACTCACTCTATAGACCAGGCTAGCCTCAAACTCACAAGAGATCTACCTCCTTCCTCCTGAGTACTGAGATTAAAGGCATGCACCACTACCACCTAGGGAAAAAAAAATGTTTTTTAAATTGCATTTATCAGAGACCAGTCCTCTTTAAACACCCAAGGCAAAGCCCTGGCTGGTCCACCATGCTAAGCATGCTCACTCTGGACAGGAAAGGCCGAGATGCTGGACAAGACCCCTGCAACTCCAGCCAGACGCAGAAGCCAAGGAGCCAGCTCCTGTAGTCTCACTACAGGAGCAAGATCGGTTAGGTACTAGGTACAAAGCCCATAACCGAGGTTTGGGGTCACCGTCACAAGGTAGCACCTGTGGCCTCTTCTCCAGGTGTATGGGAGGTTGCTCTTTCACACTTCACCACAAGTCTATTAAAATAGATCATTGAGATCATGCCAGGCTATTGGCCCGGGATACAGTTATAGTCTTCACCTTGCTCTAAGTCTCATTGCATTTCTCTGTAACATGGAAATGATAATAATCTTTGCCTGGCCTACCTAGTTAAGGGTTTTATGGGAAGGAGACAGGAGGCTAGAATATGGAGAGAACTCTGGTGTGTGTGTGTGTTGAGAGAGAGAGAGAGACAGACAGACAGACAGACAGACAGACAGACAGAGAAATACTCAGCATAAGCACACTGTGGAGCCTAAAAGGCACGCATCTCTGGGTACTTCAGCTCTCCAGCCCACCCCTCATCTCTCTGGCTAGATATCTGGCCGGCTGTCATGGGAACGAGGCTGTCCAGAATGCACCTGGTCCGGGCTCTGGTCTGAAAAGGCAGCCATTCAAGGTTGGCTTGGCCAGGAGCCTTGTGATGAGAGACAGGGGGCCCTGTGCTCTGGAGGGAAGGAGGCCTATGTGGCCTCAGTGTGGAGCTAAGCTGTCAGCCTGGGAGGGTGGCAGGCTGGTTGGGAGGGGGAGGTGTCTCAGAAGGAAGACTGAACTAGTGTTTAAGGCCTAGAGCTGAAAGGCCGCTGTGTGTCCCATGCTAGCTGCCTGGCAGGCAGGCATGTGACTCATTGGTGGCCAGAGGAGGGTGTAGCCTGGGCCCAGCTGGCCAGGACAGGGGGCTCACTGCCCACCCATATGCAAATGTATGTTAGGATAAGTTGGAACAGGTATGCTAGTGCTGAGGCTACCTATCTGCCTGGGCTCTTGGGACCCCTTGCAGTAGCCACCTCTTGTCCCTCTTCTGACTGTGGCTGTGGTAAGTCTGTCTCTCCTCCCAGTCAGGGTCTCTTGAGGTGGCCCACGCCTGCCTTCATCTCCGCCCCCATTCTATGCATCCTTCCCTGGGTGCTGCCCAGCAGAAAGGGTTGTCCTTGTTCTTTAATTGTACCCACTGTGGTAGGACAGATGAAGGAGGGAGGGATCGACAGCTTGTTAAAGTGATGCTAGCCATTCGAAGCCGATTTGTAAAGGCCAGGAGGAATTCATTCCGTTTCTAAGGACATAACACAGTTGAGCGGAAGGAAGGCAGGGTATTGGGGAACCAGAGGGAGACAGGGGAAGTCTTGCTTGCTGGAGTGGCAGCAGGAGGCAGCGCACACTATTAAAGGTTTGTGGGTAGAACCGGGGGTCCTGGAGCAGGCACAGAGTTGAGGACCTGGGAGTGATAGAAGAGGCTACACAAGACCTATAGCCTATTCCCAAGGGCCTGCCAGGCAAGGTTTCATTGAAAAAAAAAAAAAAAAAAAAAAACAGCTAGTCACGAGCAAGTGTGTATTTATGTGTGTCACTAGGTAAGCAAATATCTCAGAACTTTGTGTGTGTGTGTCCATCTATGAATTTTCTACATGTCTCTGAATGCTTATATATTCATGTGTAGTTTGCTTTTACTGTACATGTGAGTGTCTGGGTATATGTGTTCACAGTCTGTGCCATGTGTACATTTATGTGATTTTATATATGTCAGTGTGTGATGGTTTATTTATGAACCTAACTCTGTGTGTGTGTATGTATATGTGTGTCCATGAGTTTTCTACGTGTCTGAATGCTTATGTATTCAGATGTAGTTTGATCTTCCTGTACATGTGTCTGGGTACATGTGTTGATAGTCTGTGTCTTATGTACATTTATGTGGTTTTATATATGTCAGTGTGTGATGGTGCATATCTGCCTGTGTGAGAGAGAATGTTTGTGTGTATGTGTGCCCTACTAAGAGGAACTGGGGTTCATCTCCAAGACACAGGCAATGCTGGGAACCAACCACTAATCGGCCCTCCACTCCTTTCTGGCCCCCCCTGTCAGTTTATTTCTGCTTTGCTGCCCCTGGATCCTTTAAGCTCTGTCCTCTGAGTGACAGACCAACTCTACTTCCACTTGACTGCCACCCCATACCCACAAAGCCATGGGTGGCCTTGGCTGTCCCCACACTAGCTGGTTTGTGCTTGAGCACAGGAAGGGACCAGAAAGCTGTCCAGCCCAGAGGTGCTGTGTCCATCTTCTATTGGCTAACCCAGGGCTCCTCCCCATCCTAGAAAGAGATGTCTAGACAGCATGATGCAGTTGTCCACACAGCACCGCCCTTCTTCCTCCTGGGCTCTGTATCTGAGCAGTTTGTCTTACAGAATAGCCAGAGAGTCCTGGAGGCTTGGCCTAAGTGGTAAACATGACTGGAACGTCTCCAAGGTATCTGAGTGAACCTCTGACTGAGCAGAGTTTTTAAGATCTGCAGAATCACCAGGCAGCGGTGGTGATGCATGCCTTTAGTCCCAGCACTCAGGAGGCAGATGCAAAGGGATCTCTGAGTTCCAGGCCACTCTGGTCTACAGTGTGAGTTCTAGGACAGCCAGAGAAACCCTCTCTCCAAAAAACTGCCTCTTCTGAGAGAGAGAGGGGCAGACTCCTTTGGAGGCTATACCCCCCCAGCTGTTCCTGGGGGCTGCAATTTCAGTATCTTGTGCCATGCATAGAATGGAAATTATTACCCAGGCCTGATCTGCCATGCTACTTCAACCCTGGGGATGTACTCACTGGCCTAGGGTGGGACAGTCCCTCCCTGAGATTTTATATGAGGAAGTAGAAATGGGGTGTGTGGGATCTGGGGTGAGGTAATAAGTATCTAAGGGTATCTTGAAGCCTTTGCCCTTCTCGTAAAAGGACAGGATAGCCATAAAGTGTTGGTGGTATTTCTACTATATAAGCTAGCAAGTTTCTTTTGCTTCAGCTACTTAAGAGTTGGGACTTACTATCACTTAAAGCCAGAGGAATCCTGGACTATTTCTTGCCTGAGCCACATGTTTGGTCTTCAGGGTGCCAGAGCTACTTTGCCTGGCTCATAACCTCCTCATGGCCCCTCCTTGGCTCTCTCAGTCCCCACCTAGATGTCTTACTGCCAGCGTCCACTCCTCTCAAAGGTCCTAAACCCACCTCCACTGTCTCTGTCACCACCTACTTCCTCAGCTTTCTGGCCCCAGTCCTTCCACAGCTACTTCCCTGTCTGTCTGCTTCTCCCCAGCCTCACAGGAAGGCTGTGTCTCTTCAGGTCCTTGCTCAAAGCTGGCCAGCCGAGCTCGGGAATGCTCCAGGAAGATGGCTTCCCTGCATCAGAGGTGCCTGGAAAAACTAAGAGCTGCTTTCTTTCTCCAGGGCTTCCCAGGTAGCTCTCCCCGGTCTGGCCTTGGGACCAGCTCTGGGAAACCCCCGTCTATCACTCAGTACTGTCACCTCCTTGATTGCTGAGGATTAGCTCCATGAGTAAGGGACAATCAAAGATCACCTTGGGTTCCCTAGAGCTGGGACAGGTTGCCTCACTTCCTCCATTCCTGGCTCTTTCCCTTGTGATCTGCATTTCTTTGGTGTCTAGTAGGCCTTCATGTCCTGCGCATGCACACTCTGTCAGAAACATAGAGGACCACGTTCAGGCCTTTCTACAACGTCCGATTTTATTGAATAATGAATTCTCAGAGTCCAGAAGTTTCACTGAGGGCAATTCATCAGCTGGTTCCACTCTCCTCCCTAGCCTTGGCTGAGGAAAACACAGATTCTTTCATTCCAATCTTAATTACTAATATTAACTGAGGTCACAGATTACAGATCGAGTAGTAAGTCTATGTATATGGGTATAGTTATAAGCTACAGAATGGCCACTAAAGTTGCAGGGGTCCCAGCAGGATTGGGTCCTCCCTTTAAGGTCAGAGGCCAAGAAGGAGGCAAGGAGTTGAACTTCAGAGCATGGAGTGTCCTCCATTTAAATCTAATTGAGACTCTTGGAAGTTAAAACTCTGAAGGAGCTTCAAAGTGGCCTAAGAGATAGAAGCTGAAAGGAACACAAGGGGGGGGGGGGGGGGGGAGGTGAGACAGTAATGCACAAGGCTGCAGAGCCACCGGAGACCCCACTGACTGCTGCCACCACAGAGCCAGCACAAGGCTGGAGAGCGGCAGGAGACCCCACTGACTGCTGCCACCACAGAGCCGGGCTGCAGGGCAGGGCACGGCTGAGCCTCAACTCTGAGTCTTGTGTCAAGAGTGAGAATCAGGACCAGTCCAGAAGGATGGACAGATGGACGGACAGATGGAAAGACAGCAGTTCAAGAAGGCTGTGTTAACATCAGGGAGTCAGCCAAACTGAAACCCCTGAACAGTCAGAAATTCTGTCAGTCCACTGACACAAAACCCAGGTGGTCAGTGGGACCAGAGCCATGGCAGGGTTAAGGGTCTGTCCCTTCATGGGGTCCAGGTGGCAGTGTTACACCACTTCCCCTGTCTAGTGTGTCCCTTAAGTTCTCAGGCCTCATTTTCCTGATGTGACGATTCTCATGTGCTCACATGGTCCCAATTTACTTTGATAAATATAAAGGGTGACACCCTTTCCACTTTTAGAAATAAGTTATTTATTCGTCTGTATCTCATGTATAGCAGCATTCATACTCAAAATAAAGCCCAAAGTGGCTTGTAAAACAGTGTCTCTCAGGGCAAGGCACAGCCTGGAAAACACTGCTACATACAATATGGAGGGACTTAGGGCAGGGACTTCCTGTTCCCAACACCTTGGCTGAAGGAAATTCTAAGAATTCAACTAGACTCTTCCGTGGAAGATCCCCAGGCTCTGAGGATTCTCCCTACTCACCCCTGCTTCCCATCTCCTCCCATGTTACTCCTTGCTCCTTCTTGGGCCCCCGACTTACAGAGAGGACCTAGGCCTGTAAGATGGTTCAGCAATTGTATCTCACCTGTCAGCCTCATGCTGGAAGGAGAACTGACTCCTGAAAGTTGCCATACACACACACAAACCACATAATACACACATATACATACATATGTACACAAACACACAAACATACACATAAACAACACATACATACACACATATACCATATACACACATATATACACATACATATGCACACACACTAAATATATAAGTGTACATTTAAAATTGAAAAAATAGGCTGGAAGGATGGCTCAGTGGTTAAGAGCACTGACTACTCTTCCAGAGGTCCTGAGTTCAATTCCCAACAATCACACGGTGGCTCACAACCAAATGAGATATGGTGTGTCTGAAGATAGCTGCAGTGTACTCATATACATAAAATAAATAAGTAAATCTTTATAATTGAAATATAAAGGGGATCCAGCCTCCAAGGAGATACGTCCCCTCTGTCCATCCCTTAATATTCTCTGGTTCCAGATCCTGCCTCCCGTACCTCCATGTGGGGAAGACCATTTACCTGTGGGTACTCTTCTAGTGCTGACTTGAATGGTATCCCTGGGGTCTCCCTGACCCCTTCAGCACTACCCTGTACTGTGTCAGGTTCTCAGTAGCAGATACCTGTGGCCTATGAGGACCAGAGGTTTCATTCTCAGACTGTCTCATCAGAAATCATCTCAAATCCAGATTTATTCACTGCAAACTTCTAGAACAAAATGCAAAGCAAGCATCCTACCATGGTTCAGAACTTGCAGAAACTCCTTTTAAGATCTGCACAGGAAAACGTGTCAGGGCGATTCTCCTGGTCACTCTGATCAACAGCTAGCCCTGAAGTCACAGAGGACCCGTTATAGAAAGTTCCAGACCAGGGTAGTGCTCCACAGAGTTGGTCTGGCATGGACAGAGGAGCCAGGCCATTATTTCTTAACAGACAACACTTTTCCTTCCAGCAAATGACCACTGACTGCCCCAGCACTGGTTCATCAGCCTCCAGCTGTGAGTGTAGGCAGCTGACTCTGAAGCCCCTGCTGTGGCTACCCCTGGAGTGTAACACTAACTAAAACCAATTCACTTGCCCTCAACAGCTCTGGGCTGAGTTAAACTGACTACAGCTGACATAGCTTGTTGGTCCTTCAGCTCCAAGTCTCTGCCCGAGGTAGACTCTCCAAGGTGCCCAGAGTTCCTTACTTTCTAGTTTCCTGTTCTGTCTGACCCAGGGCATCCCCCACATTGTCCAGCAACAATATCTACCCAGTATGCCCTCTTGTGGGTCAGCTCTCCCTACATCTCAACTCTCTGCACACCTAACGGGGAGGGAGAAGTCTCAGGGAGAGGAAAATGGGAGCTGGGGGAGAAGCGAGTTATTCAAAGAAGAAATAGGGAAGGAGAAAGGGGTGTTTCTTAGTGTACTTCTATATATGTCAGGTCACTCAGCACCCCTTCTGGCCCAGCAAGAGAACAGTTCAGAAAATGACTTGTTAGTTTAGGGACTCTCTTCAATCCCTTCTTCCACCCACACCAACGTTTCCTGGAACTGCCGTCTCCTCCCACCAAACTCTCACCTCAGCATGGGGTGGGGGGGCAGTGGCAGAGTCCACTGCAGACTGGCCTTGCTCAGCCAATCCACTTGTTCCGAGACAGTCCCCATCCCTTGAGGGATGCTATGGCCTCAAGGCTGGACAGGTGGAGGGGATCAGACTATGAGCCCAACGGTGAGAAGTCACTGTGCTTCTGAGTAGTGATGGGGATCTGTGGCTCACTGAAAGCAGAATGGGGTAACCTTGGAAAGTGACCAGAACCTGGGGAACACACACACACACACACACACACACACTCATGTACTTCATTGTTACGCATTTCCTTAGTCTGAATTCTCAAATCAATGATCTTTCACAAACTGTCCTGATTGACCAGTTCAACTGCAAAACCCAAGGTGACCTTGGGCAGCTTCACCCCCCCCCCTCCCTCACTCCTTACCCCCCCTCCACCCCGCTTCCCTGATTACTCCATGTTCTCTTGTGGTCCCAGGATCCCCTGGGATAGGTCAAACATTAGTGATCAGAATATCAAAAGCACCCACCTGTCATAGGCTCTGTGTGTCTGTGTGTAGGGGACACTGGTGTGTCTGCTTCCTCTGCGTCATCTCACATAACTCTACATTGGCAGGAAATTGAGGTCTCAAGAGGATAAGCAGGCTGCCCCCTAGAAGCAGCCAGGAAGTGCGGAGGACTGGCCCAACCCCCAACCCTCTGGCACTCAGATCTCAATCCACAGGCCCTTACCAGAAACACCTGTGTCTACCTTCACCTAGCACCTAGAGAAACGCCACACTAGGGTGAAAGGTGAGTCAGAGGCTAAGAGGACTGGTCTCCAGCAAGGCAACTTGTGGAGAGCTGGGACAGAGCACCTGCTCTTCCCCAAAGTCACACTTACAGGGCAAAAAGAGAGAACCCCAAAGCTTGGCTGGTGCCAGGTGTGATGACATATCTGTAACCGCCATCGTTCAAGAGGCTAAGACAAAGAGATCTGGAGCTCAAGGCCAGCCTGAACTGCATGCCAAGACCCTGACTCAAAACAAACAAAACAAAACACAGTACCCTGGGTGGTGGAGACAGGGATGGGTAGCCAGTGCCAAGCTAAGACAACGAGGACCGGTGACCTGGGACTAGTGGGACTGCAGTGACTCCTAGGGGCAGGCAGCCAGGCCAGTGAGACTTACACTTCAGGCCAGCAGGGCTTCTTGAGGACTTAAAGAGGGCATTGTCCCGGGATGCTCCTCTGAAATTCTGATCTGAAGGCCCTTCATCATTTCTGACTGGAGCTTACAACATTCCAGAAAATTCCACTGTATGTTTAAGCACATATGGGAGCCCAAGGATCACTAAGGGAAGGCCAAAAGGAATCTTCACCCTCGAGACTCACTGGGGCTATCTAGCCTCCCTGGGAGTATGGGTCAGTATCTAGTATTCCCTGGGAGAGGAACAGCATTGCAGAAAAATCGTTCCCCATTCCTACTATCTGATAGAAATGCCTGAGGCAGGACTTACGGACCACCTCCTGAGCCAGACAGACCTCCTGGGTTTGAATATTAAGGTTGTGACTTCATCCATCTTGTGTTCGTTCCTGACTCTACCTCCTGGTAAGATAGAAACAAGACATAGCACATGTCACCAGAACCAAGTGAATCACTAATCCCAGGGACCTAGAACTAGGCTTGACAATAGGAAGCGCTGGATGTTAGGAGTGGACTGTAAAAAGTTCGATTTCAATCCTGTGGGTATTTCTGAAGCCTTACTGTGTACTCTGCATTGAGACCCCAATATGGGTCCAGACATCTGGATGACAGCAGGACCAGTAAGTAGCCTTATCTGCCAGAAAATTTCCAAAGTTACCCAGAGGAGACATCAACCCAGAGCCTGGACCAAGGTGTCCCCTCCCTCCCTGTACTGTGATTGTGTGTAGCCCACTCCCAAGAGAAAATGGTGCTCACGCAGCAGATTAATAAAAGCCTGGAGGCAAAAGGAAAAAAGTGGGAAGTGGTTAAGTGAAGGATTTGTTGGCAATACAAGAAGGAGGTTTTTGTTTGTTTTGAGACAAGAGTCTCATTAGGGAGTCCTGGCTGACCTGGAACTCACCACGTAGACCAGGCTGGCCTTAAATTCACAGAGATCCACCTACTGGGATTAAAAGCACGTGCGAACACTCTAGCAAAAGAAAGGACTTTTTTGCAGAGGCTAATAAGCATTCTTACTGGGGCAGGGTAGAGCAGAAAGAGTGGGGAACCCAGAGCCTTCCTGGGTGACCTGGGCTGGCTGGGGGTCTGACACAGGCAACCCAGCCTCTCCTAGCATCATCTCCTCTTGAGACCGCCGACCAGACCTAAACGATCGCGGGAAGAATAAAAGTAGACGGGCAAAAAAAAAAAAAAAAAAAAAAAAAAGGAAGCTTTAGGGAAAACAGCCTTTATTCGCCACCCTCCTGACTACACACCCAGGGCAACTCCAGAAGGAAGCAGCCAGGCCGCTAGGCGCCGGGTGGGCGTGGAGGTGGGCGGCGTCCGACGTCCCCACGTGTCCCGAAGGCAGGCGACCCCGTGAAGGCCCAGCAGCGGGGAAGTCGCCGCCTCAGGATGTTGGGGATCCTCAAGGTCTCTGAGATTCCGGCTCTTACCTTCGCGATCCTGCGGGGCGTGCCTCTGAGGTGACCAGGGCTGAACGGAGTTGCTGTCCCCGCAGTGAGCCAGAGTGCGAAGGGTTAACCTACCTGGGCCGCCGCCCCTGCGGCCCCTCCTCCAGCCGCAGGGAAAAAGAAAGTCTCAGCGGGGGCGCGGCTCGGCCTCGTCCCGCCGTCCCCAGCCGCGGCGCCCAGAGCTGTGATCCGTGCGCTCCGCTCAGCTGCCCTGGACCGGGCCGCCATGTCTCTGTGGTGAGTCGGGGTCCCGGTGGGGCACAGGGTACCTCCGAGATTCACCTCCTCCCGTGACCGCAGACCGCAAGGGATGCACGCTGGGTGTCCTGGGACCGACCCCAGTTTCCCTGGGCAGCGAGGGTGGCGGGAGATGCGGAGCAGGGAGCAGCGCCGGAGCGGCAGGTGGGATGTGGGAGATGCGGGACTCTCGCTTGGCTCCCCGGCCGCGACTCGGGCAGCCTGTATGCAAGGTCTCTCCGGCCTTGGGATCTCACTAGCAGACACACACACACCTGACCCCTTCGGTTCCTCTTTCCTCCTGTGGCCTCTTCTCTGGACCGCCTCGACCCTTCTCCCTCCCTGGCTTTGCTCTTACAAATGGAGTGAACTGGTATGTGCGAGCCAGGGCTCTGGGGCTGGTCCTTACCCGGACTCTGAAGCTGCGGCGTGGAGCTTCTTTAGAACCCTAAGGACTGGAACTGGGTTCAGAATCCTCTGCTCCGGTTCCCAGCAGTGTACCTAAGTCATTTTTCTGTCTTTCTCTCTCCTTCCAACTTGATGGTCAGGAAGTCATGAGGCTCTTGGGGAAAGCTCGCTGAATGTGGGGAGGAGGACTCAACATTCACTCACCCTGCGCCTCCGCAGGCTTAAAACCTGGGGTTGCCGGGCAGTGGTGGTGCACGCCTTTAATCCCAGCACTTGGGAGGCAGAGGCAGGCAGATTTCTGAGTTCGAGGCCAGCCTGGTCTAGAGAGTGAGTTCCAGGATAGCCAGGGCTATACAGAGAAACCGTGTCTCGGAAAAAAAAGAAAAAAGAAAACCTGGGATTATCTCTACCTGCTTCGTGGCTCCCTGGCTCTTGTATCTCCCCGCCTGGGGGAGAGCCATCTCTCTGCTGCCCCAGCGCTGGAAGGTCATGAGTCTCCCAGTGTGAGCTAAGGAGAGAAGGTTCTCAGGGAAAGGGGCACAGGCTGGATCGTTCCTGAGAAGAGCTAGGATTTCTGCCTATGAAAAGGGCGTGGTGGGATTACCTGACCAGGAAGGGTCCCCGGAAAGTGGGTTTCCTTCCCAGGGATGAAGGGCTAGGCACCTCGCTGCTCCATGTGCTCCATAAAGGTAGGCGTAAGGAGTCTGATGGGATTTGTCCACTCCCTTCCCGGCCTCCCATAAAGAGTGAGAATGGCTGTTGAGTCGGTGGGGGCTGCTAAGCCAGAACCCACTCCCCACTGCACTCCACAAGGAGACTCCCCAAAAGCTGCAATAAGGATACTGTCTTTTCCCCTTAGAGTGACTTGTTCAAAGTCACCTGGTGATACTGCTGTCCACTATTTATGTGAAGAACTAAAAATGAAAACCAGAGCACAGGGGGTGGACAGAGGTCTCTTTTCCTGGCAAAATGACAGCATTTCACTGAGTTCATCCCTGGTATTTATCCTGTGCCTTGTCCCATTTTGGGGGAACTTGAGGGGTTAAATGGCCCCCTTCCCAAAATTGTTGGGTTTGGGATCCCAGTAACTAATTCTACAGTGCTTCTTGAGTTGGGCAGTTAGCAGGAGAGAAGCAGGATCCTCTGACCGTCCAGGAAGTAGAGGCCACTGGTCCATCTGTGGGCCCCTAATCCTCAGGAGGAGGATGAGTGCCACCTCACCCTCTTCTCTGCTGCTCCCCCTAGGAAGAAAACCCTCTACAAAAGTGTATGCCTGGCTCTGGCCCTCCTTGTGGCTGTCACTGTATTCCAGCGCAGTGTGACCCCTGGTCAATTCCTTCAGGATCCTCTACCACCCACACTGGGGCCACCCAAAACTGGAAATCTGGTCAACAGCTTCTGGAAGAGTCCAAAGGATGTAGCAGCTCCCACCCCCACAGTTCCTCGGAGACCCCAGGTCTGGGATGTGATTACCACTAACTGTTCTATCAACATCAACCTGACCCATCAGTCCTGGTTCCAGAGTCTGGAGCCACACTTCCGACAGTTCCTGGCCTACCGGCACTGCCGTTATTTCCCCATGTTGCTGAACCACCCAGAGAAGTGTGACAGCGATGTCTATCTGCTGGTGGTAGTCAAGTCAGTCATTACACAGCATGACCGCAGAGAGGTCATTCGTCAGACCTGGGGCCATGAATGGGAGTCAGCAGGTCGGGGCAGGGGCGCCGTGCGGACTCTCTTCCTGCTCGGTACAGCCTCCAAGCAAGAGGAGCGAACCCACTACCAACAGCTGCTGGCCTATGAGGACCGTCTCTATGGTGACATCCTACAATGGGACTTCCTTGACAGCTTCTTCAACCTGACCCTTAAGGAGATTCACTTCCTTAAGTGGCTTGACATTTACTGTCCCAATGTCCCCTTCATTTTCAAAGGTGACGATGACGTCTTTGTCAACCCCACCAACCTGCTCGAATTTCTGTCTGACCGGCAGCCTCGGGAAAACCTATTTGTAGGTGATGTTCTGAAACATGCTCGGCCCATCCGCAAAAAAGATAACAAATACTATATCCCCTCGGTCATGTATAGCAAGGCCACCTACCCACCCTATGCTGGTGGCGGGGGGTTCCTCATGTCTGGCAGCCTAGCTCGGCAACTCCACCATGCCTGTGACACACTGGAACTCTTCCCTATTGATGACGTCTTCCTGGGCATGTGCTTGGAGTTGCTGGGAGTGAAACCCACAGGCCACGAGGGCTTCAAGACCTTTGGCATCTCTCGAGTCCGAGGTAGCCGAATGAACAAGGAACCGTGCTTCTATCGGTCCATGCTTGTGGTACACAAGCTGCTGCCTGCCGAGCTGCTGGCCATGTGGGATCTGGTGCATAGCAATCTTACCTGTTCTCTCAAGTTCCAGGTGCTCTAATGCTGCTGGGCCACCACTGCATTTGTCCTCGAGTCCTTGGGGTCCTAGGACTGGAGATACATGGCATAGTCTTTGGTCCCCTGCAAGAGGTGAAGGGTTTGGCCCCTCTGTGCCCCTAGGTGTGGTGGGGTACAGAGAGCCAGAGAGGAACTCCCAGAAATTCCCAGAAAGAGGTCCAGGAATTGCCAGAACTTCCCTGACTGGAGGTTATCTGAGGACCTGGATCTCTCCTAGCAGGGCCTCTCTAGTCTGGTAGGAGGCCCCAGTGGCCTCTAAAGGAATTTTGCTCAGGTACCTGAGCTAGACCTGGCCCCAGTGGGTCTGTGGCTGTCTCTTGTCTTCACAGGGAAGTCTCTTTCCTGTGAAATGCCTCTGACTCCCTGAGGGCCAGGCAGCCTTTGCGGGAGCTCAGTCCTGTGCAGGTCCACAGGTGTCCCCTGGTCCACATTCCTGGATCTCCTGAGACTGGAGCTCCACAGGCGATCAGCACAGCCCCAGGCTTGCCTGGAGTCAGCTGCCGAGGCATGGCTCCTAGCTAGGTCTTCTCTTGTCCAGAAGCCTGACTGGCCGCTCTGACTACCTCAGCACTCCTCTAAACCTCAGTGTGGGCTAGCGCCGCACCTCACACCCCTGACACAGAGCAAAAGAGCAGTGCTCCTGGCCCCCAAAGCACAGTGATCCCTAAGCCCAGCCCAAGCCGGGTCTCACTCTTGGCACTTCACCAATACTGACTCCCTGGCCAGAAACTGGCCAGTTAGGCCCTAGATGTAAGATGTTCTTTTATTACTGTGAAATTTTATTTATGAAGAATTGGAAGGGGAAGGAGGCGTCTCCAGGCCTTGGGAGGTGTACCTCTCTTCAGTACGCTTTCCCTCAGCAGCCCCATCTACCGGCTAGCATCTTTACCACTCGCCCCTGCCTTTCAAGTCCCACTCTGAGCCCTCCCCAACTGACACCCCTACTTTTCTGGGGCCTGCCCAGACTATTTTCCCCTGTGAAAGAATGCCACCTCCCACCTCTGCCTGGGGTTACCTGAAAATGATGGAGGCATCTTCTCTATTTTCTCAATAAAACTGGACTGGTTGTTGAAGGTGTCTGAACTAGCTGCTTCCTTGGTCTTGGCTAGTGGGTGTGTAAGACCTCTAGAGGGGCCTTAGAGGAAGGGGGGACTGTGGTGGTGCAAGAAGCCTGGGAGCTCTAACACTCAGCTATCTCAGGTGACCACATGGCCAGCTGAGGCCTTGGCCTAAGTATCAATTAGCAAAGGTCAAGGCGAGAGTTCAGGCCTGAGGCTAGTGTTCTAGTGGGTGCCCTTAGGCAGGGTGTGCAGAGTCTAACCGGCTCCCTGATGTCCTTGTGAAAGCATTGAAGTAGTCTTGGCTGGAAGGAGAGCTTGCCACCACGTGCAGGACTTTTGCCAAAGCTGCTGCTTCCGGAGGAGGAAGGGCAGTTACTGCCAGGACAGGATCTTCTGAGACAGTAGTGAGCAAGCCAGCTGTGTCCAGTTCAGATCCACTATGGGCCCAGCTGCCCCAGTCCAAGTCCTAGGATTGGAAGGGACAGGGCTGCCACCATTTCTCCCTAGCACAGTTCTTCCCACACCTTCCTTTGTTAGCTGGCTGTATTATGTGCAGAGCTCAGTGTAGAACACATGCCTAGTTTGCAGAAGTTAAAAACTTGAAGATTACAACAGTGCAGAGTCCTTTGGAGGCGCCAGCACCTGTTCCCAGAACAGCAGCAGGGGAGCTAGAAGGGCCAGGCAAAAAGCTCAGGTCATCTGTAGCCACATTTAAGGACCAGGCAGAGACATGATTTAATCAAAGGTCCAGGGAGGGAGATGGATGCTTGGTTGTGCAGTTAGATGGCAGACAGGCCTGAATCTCAAGCCTCAGAGGTTTAGAGAAGTGTCTGGAGCTGACCCTGAGGATGGATGGGGCAAGAGATCAGGAGTTCTGAAGCTACTACTTTTGGTTTCCTTTGTCTTTGACTTGGGTCCTATGGACTGGGAACTCAGTGGAAGTAGCCTGTCTACACGGTGGGTTTTGATGACTGGTGGTGTCATCAAGTTAAGACTCAGTGCTTTCTGAGCCTTGCCCACTGAGCCTGAGTGTGTGAGGTTTTGCTTCACTTGGGCCCAAGGCTGGGCAAGCAGGCCACCTTAACTCAGGAGAAGGAAGGCCAAGGAGCCCCTAAGGGGATGTTGTGACATTTCCCATCCCCCAGCACCAGCGCTGACTGAGCTTTGTACCCACTGCTTAAAGGGATAATTCCCTGAGGTAGACTGGAATTTGGGGAGGAGCCACTGTGTGTGTGTGGGGGGGGGGGAGAGACAAAGAGGAGGTTCCCTGCTGAGTTTGTTAACAGATCCCAGTTCTTGGGTCTGGGAAGGGGTAGAAACACACCAGACCCAGAGATACTCAGACAAGAGCCAGTTCAGGCCAGTGGTTCCTAGAACAAAGGAAAGGGGTTACTCTAATAATAACTCTCCAACCATCCCATCCAGGTTATCTGATGGAAGGAAAGGAATCAGAACCAGAATGGGTATTGTCCAGACTTGACTGGTCAGGGGCTAAGCAGTCTCATGCGGTTCACTGATCAGCTGTGACTCTCAGGGTCGGGATATTCTCTAGAGACTGCCTTTATCCTACATCTGAGAGAATGAATGATTGTGGTTCTTAGCTCTAGGCTGTGTGGACCCTGGGTCACTGTTTGAATCTGCGGGGAGAGGACCATCCAAACAGGCAGGATCCTCCCTAGGATCAGATGGGTCTAGCTGTTCCAGGTGGCCCTGTCTGTTTCAAGTTAGGGTGCTCTCTGCAGGCTCTGAACTATGAGAACCCATCGGGTAGTCAAGGGTCCACAACCTGCTAGGCCAACCAGGACAGGCACATATCCCCAAAACTATACTGTGAGATGTTCAGAATGTCCCAGCTGCTGCAGCCCCTACCAGGCCCCCTCTCTCTGTTGCCTTTGGCTTTTTTCAGCCTTCTCTATCCAGACTGTCTCTATAAAGATACTTTTATTGCTGGGATTACTTAAGGAAATAGGCATAAAGATAAAGGTTTTCCTGGAAGATTCAGGCATTGTCACTCATTTCCTAGTTGAGAGGTGTGTCCCATCACCAAGGTTGCATAACAAAAGACAACACGAAAAGTCTTAACAGGTTCCTTCCTGAGGTCAGTCTCCCTCTCCCGTACCCCAGGTTGAACTTGAACTCACAATAACTCAACACCTCCTGGTAGCTGGTGTTTCAGGTGTTAGATAGGAGCTGATGAAGGCTAAGTGGAAATGAAAGGAAGCTGACAAGCATCTCTTGAAGCAGAATTGTTCTTTAATCAGAATGGCTGGAGGACAACCCCTGCGGAAGCAAGACTGTGTGAACATGGCCTGGGGGGGGTTGGGGGATTGTGGGCCAGTAAAGGGGGATTGAGATGGAAAAGTCCAGCTGTAGGTCAGTTCCCCCCACCTACCCCCAGTCTCAAAATGGTAAATACCACCCAGCAGGTGGGTATGTGAATCACCTGATCGGAAGCTCCCACCCGTGCTGTTAGTCAACTCTGCGGCCCAAGTCTCTCAGCCCACCTGAGGCTTTTGGGTAATTAACCCTTCAACAAGCAGGCTCCACCATGTCAGGCTTATTTATGCAGTGCTGAAGGTTAAAGCAGAGGCTTCTTGCCGGCTTAGGCAAGCACTCTACCAACTGAGCTATCTCTCCAGCTCTGTTTAAAAGTTTTCCAGTAAAAGCAAAAAGTTTCTGAAGAGGCAGAACTCAAAAACTAGGGAAGACTTTTTATGACCCAATTGAAATCACACTCAGTGGGGAGACTGAGGAAGGCCTGTCTGCTTGGACTTCTCACCCAACGATCCCTCTCTCTCTCTCTCTCTCTCTCTCTCTCTCTCTCTCCCCCCCCCCCTCCCCCCCTCCCTCCCTCTCTCTCTCTCTCTCTCTCTCTCTAGAACGACAGATAGAACTCGTATCCCCAGGCGAAGATTAGGACCCTCTGAGATGAGTCTCTCCAAATAGAAGGGAACAAAGTGAACTTTCTAAGTTTTATGGTTTATTTTAAGGGAGGAGGGCTTTTCTTTTCCTCTCCTTTAATTCAGGGTGACAAAGGGCCGGCACTTTTTTCTGGGTGGACATAAGTAACAACTGTGGAGTGTAGTCAATATGCCTGGCGCTGGGAACATCTTGCATGTATAAGCTGTATTACTTTGTCTTTAGTTAAAAACAGGTTTCCGTTTCAATGTAAACTCTTTTATGTACCCTCGTCGGGGTGGGAAGTGGGGAACCCAAGCATACCCTCAGCAGGCAATTCCAACTGTTAGCTCTCGCTCCCCACTGGGGCGCTGCTGAGCGGACCTGCGCAGTTCGGGGGCTTCTCAGGCCACGCAGGCTGCGGGGAAGCCTATACTTCAGGCATTTAAGTATCTGTCTCTAACACTCACCGTCACAGCCATCCTTCACCAAAGAGCAATTGGATGTTGGGGACCTGGGTCCAGGGCCTCTGGATGAATTCCATAAACTCTCTCAGGCTCTCTCATACAGTAGCAACTTTCAGGCTTAGGATAGCAATCGGTGTTGGGAGGAGGGTTTCCTTACTAAGGACAGAAGGCTTCAACTGCAAGAAGTTCCTGTCCTCAGCCACCAGCTCTGTATTCAGAGGGGACTTGAAAGGGGGCAAAAGGCCATCCCACTGTTACCCAGAGCTGGGCGGCCTCCTCCAGAAGATTTGCATAACTAAAGGAGACCACTTAAGGAATCCTGCCTTTCACAAAGGAAACCTGTTCCTAGGTGTAGTACCGGGGAGTAGAAGCTTCTGGAATTCCGTTCAACACTATATTCAAAGGAAGAAATGGAGGTCTCAGAAGGATCCCACAGCTATTGTGTGACAGGGATTGACTGGAACCGAATGCTCCCAACCCCCAGTCCATCTCGTCTCCCCCGGCATTCCTCTCCTGTTTTCCTTACAACAACTTAGTGGTAAATGTGTTTGCTTCTTTGTAAAAGCCTACAGCGCAGCAAAAAAAAAGTTAGATTCAATGAGTGATGGCATTTGGGAGAATCTCAGAAGCATAGCACCAAATGAAAAAAAAAATCCAGATAATTATTTAAATATTCTGATGCAAGGATTTTCTGATCCTATAAAGCCCTGGCACTGACTGAAATGTCTGCTGCAAGTCACGTTCACTGTCGGAAGCCTCTTCCTACACTTTTTGTTAAAAAAAAAAAAAAAAAAGTTTTTATGGGAGGGGATGTGTGTGTGTGTGTGTGTGTCAGTGGGGAAATCAGAGGACAGCTTGCAGGAGTAAATTCTTGCCTTTCAGTAGGTAGGTGGGGTCTGGGGATAGAACTCACGTGTCAGGTTAGGCGGGGAGCGCCTTGCTCAGCCATCTGGGCTGGCCCCCCTTTCGCACCACTTTCTAAGTTCATGACTGCAAACTGCCCACTCTCGGGGAGCACTTAGGTTGACTTTTCTCCCTTCTGTGGACAAACCAGTTTTCCTCCGTTTGCAATTCAATTCTTCAGCTCTGTAAAGAATGTGTGCTGTTGAACGGTTCCTCTAACTGCTCACGGCTTCCCCTCGAACCAGAAACTAAAATCCCTAACGCATACTCACTTTTGTGGTGAGGTGTTTTCTTATTTAAACAAACACCTAAGCACAAAGTGGATAGAATACAACTTCTGCATATATTTCTGATACAAAACTGGAACTGTGGGAAGATAGGAGATGGTTAATTCTAAATAGGTAGGTAGTTAGGGAGAGAAGTCCGAGATGAGATCAGACTGACCTCCGAGCGCTTCCACTATAGATGGAGCTGGGCTGTTGCACAGAAGAAACCCTCCTTGTTTCTGTGGCTTGTTTTTCACTCCTGCAGGCCTCTGAACTAACTGCCAACCAGCAGGATAACTCCCTGCCCCATTCCCTAGCCAGCCACAGGTAACCCAAAGGGTGGGTTTAGCTAAACTAACTCCTTATCCCTCCCAACTGCACTAACTGCTGGCCGCAGATAACCCTCAGGGTGGGTGTGGCCCTCTTTTGAAGGTCCCCACCCCTGTCTTAATCAAGTTCTTGCAGACCTTTAAAATGA